CACACACACACACACACACACACACACACACACACACGCACACACACACACACACACACACAAACACACACAGAGACACACATACACACACAAAACGACCCGGCTGTCGGCGTGGATGGATGTTGGAAGATCATGTGACGATCCAAGCTGCCGACCTGGTAAGATGCAACCGCACCGATCGTGGGTTTATGACACATTCATGCGACATTCCTAGTGGTGCCCCAGTAGGACTGCAGACGGCACGGATCTCGTATTTGTTATATAACGGTTTTTATAGAGTGGGGCCTCGACTCGGTCATTCTGTATCTGAACAGTAGGCAACGTCACCGTTTCCGCGCCATATCTGCCAGTTTCCCTTGTGGGTGTACTCGTGGGGCATTGGGTGCGGTGCAATGCGTACACACACATGACGTGACGCACCCCCAAATATAGGGTGTCAGAAATAAAATGGGCAGGGGGGGGGTGCCGAAACACCCCACCCCTCCCCTAATAAAAATGCGAGATTGCACGAAAAAAAACGCTCGGGGCCACGGTCAACATTGGTCCCAAAAAGTTGTTGACAGTGCCGGGATGCGCGTTGTAAGATCAATCTTTCAACACTCCCATCCAAACAATCTTTCAGATTTGTCTCTAATGGCGAGGATGGCCAGAGCTTCCATGATGGATTCATACAGGAAGCATCTGCTCTTCGAGACCTGTTATATTCACGGATAGTTGTTTTTCTATGAAGTTGTCGAGTTCACTACGGTAGATCTCTTGCTGGTGTTTTTTTGGTAATCAGATAATTACAGCAGGCATTTTCTTTAGAAAAGAATTACACGCCTCACGTAGACTTAGCTTTGCATCTTGACAACTACAGCCTCGCCTAAATCCATAAGAGTTAGGTGCAAAACGGGCTTCCCATTTGGGTTCTAGAACCATCTCAGCTTGAGCTAGATCCGCAAGAAAAAGGAAGTCGTCACATCCCAGCAAAATTCAAGTCCGAGGTTGAGCTTGCCATCGGACTTCAGTGCTCTCTCTCTCTCTCTCTCTCTCTCTCTCTCTCTCTCTCTCTCTCTCTCTCTCTCTCTCTCTCTCTCTCTCTCTCTCTCTCTCTCTCT